ATATTGATGTACTTATGCTATGTAGCAAGTTTGAGCTAAATTCCGACTTCAATTTTTCAAGTTACGGCCATTTTAAGAAAATGGCAAAATTCTGAAAAATACCCAAGGCTATCCCATGGTTTTTTCCAAAAAATGGCTCCGAAATCACTTCGAATTTTTATTACATTTTCTGATATAATATTGATGTATTTGTGCTGTGTAGAAAGTTTGAGCTGATTCCAACTTAATTTTTTTGAGTTATGGCCATTTTAAAAAATCAGCCAAAATCTGAAAAAATCCCTGTGCTATAGCCCATGAAAAATGGCTAAAAAATCACCCCCAATTTTTATTACATTTTCTGATACATATTGATGTCCTTATGCTGTGTAGCAAGTTTGAGCTGATTCTGATAAATAATTTTTTGAGTTATGGCCATTTTAATAATAATTGTCATCACTATTAATAATTATTTATTTTATTATTTAATATTAAATTCTCTAGTATGATTTCAAGTTTGGCTCTAAATATGCTTCTAACCTCGTCATATTCACAATGGCGTCGGCATTAAGTCTGACCACACCTCTCGTCGTACCATTTGGAGCTTTGTTTTTTGGCATCAAGTACCTGATTGACAAGTATAACCTGTTGTATGGGTATAAACCAGTTTATGTGAGTGGACGACAGTACCTTCACAAGTCGGCCATGAAGCTGGTGATGGTGGGCGTGGTCTTTGTTCAATTTGTGACTCTCTTTTATTCAGTTGTAAGAGAAGGTGAGAATTAACATCCATGTCACATGTTTGTCACATGTTAGTCACATGTTAGTCCATGTAATGTGTGTTATTAACCATGAACTAACCTGCTCTACACAATCATACATGAATAGTAACTAATTTAAAAGATCAAGGCTCACTCCATTAATGTTTTACATTCATCATCATCATTATTATTATTATTATTATTTATTATTTTCTCAGGTTCCGTATCTGCTAGATCAATAGTTCTTTTAGTGCTACTGATAGTCACTGGTTTACTGTTATTTGGACTGTTGGTTCTTGGATGGTTCTCTTATCTTTTACCAAAAATAAGAATTAAAATGGGACAGGTTAGTGCAGCGTTACGTATCTCTTACTGTATGGTGGGCATTAATTAGGAATACTCTATATTTGGTTTGAACGAAGAGGAGGAAGACAGAATAGTGGAGGTAAAATTAATATTATTATTAATTAATATTTTGCTGTTATTGTGTAATTTCATGTAATGTGCATACATATACATGACATGAATACCGGTATATGCAGTTTTACCTTATTTGGGCCTCAATGTACATGTGTGTATGTTGCAATGCTCAGCTATCCCAGTTTATTCAATTCATCTGAGCCATTAACTAATTTGTACATATGTGAAATTGCACACCTGTTGTGTGTAATAATAACTCCTTAAAAG